CGGGGTTTCACCATGTTGACCAGGATGGTCTCGATCTCTCGACCTCGTGATCCACCCGCCTCGGCCTCCCAAAGTGCTGGGATTACAGGCATGAGCCACCGCGCCCGGCTCTAGTTTTTGTTCGTGTGTGTGTGTGTGTGTGTGGTTTTTTTTCTTTTTTTTTTGAGACAGCATCTCCTTCTGTCTCCCAGGCTAGAGTACAGTGGCTTGAGCATAGCACACTGCAGCCTCGAACTTCTAAGCTCAAGCAGTCTTCCCACCTCAGCTTCCCAAGTAGCTGCAACCATAGGTGTGTCCTGACATGACCAGCCAATTTCTTTGTTTTGTTTTTTGAAATGAAGTCTTGCTCTGTTGCCCAGACTAGAGTGCAGTGGCACAATTTCAGCTCACTGCAACCTCTGCATCCCAGGTTCAAGCTATTCTCCTGCCTCAGCCTCCGGAGTAGCTAGAATTACAAGCACTCACCACCACACCCAGAAAATTTTTGTATTTTTAGTAGAGATAGGGTTTCACCGTGTTGGCCAGGCTGGGCTGGTCTTGAACTCCTGACCTCGTGATCTGCCCACCTTGGCCTCCCAAAGTGCTGGGATTACAGGTGTGAGCCCCTGCACCCAGCCTTGTTTTATTTTTATAGAGACATAGTGTCACTATGATTTCCAGGCTGGTCTGGAACTCCTGGCCTCAAGCCATCCTCCTGCCTCAGCCTCCCCAAGATCTGAGACTACAAGCATGAGCCACCATGCCCAACTCTTGCTTAAGTTTATAGTAGCAGCAAGACTTCCTCTAAGTGTAGTCAACCAGAGCAGCATTTCCCCGTATGGCCTAGGACACTGCGAGGTGTTACATGAAATAAAAATGGGAACGCTGTGTCAAGCAAGAACGGGCTTTTTCCCTGTAGAACTCCTCAGGACTTCTAATATGTTCTATGCTATCAGTGGCTCAGCTTCAAGATCAAGATCCTTAACATGCCTACACCACCTTCCATGAGCTGGCCCAGGTGAAAGGCAGCACCTCACCTCACAGCCTTGTCCCTCCACCTTCCTGCCACATTGGCCCTGCCGCCAGCTCCTCTAGATCCATGTCATCGAGTGCAGCATCCACAGGCCACTTGTGGCTACTGGGAACTTGAGACGTGGCTGGTCTACACTGAGATGTGCTGTAAGCATAAAATACCTACCAGGTAATGAAGACTTCAGACAAAAAAATAATGTAAATTTCTACATTAATAATTTTTATGTTGATTGCACATCGAAATAACAATATTTTGGACAGACTGAGTTAAGTAAAATATTAAAATTATTTTCACCTGTTTCTTTTTACTTTTCATAATGTGGTTGCTGGAGAAGTTGTAATTACATATGTGGATCACAGTAGATTTTTATTGGACATCCTAAAGCCTCGAGATCTGTCTGTTGTTCTAGTTAAAGGTAACTCTGCGAGCTCCAGATAACTGTTTGCGTCCTTTCCTCAAAGCCACTTTCCCTGACCCCTTGCCTAGGCCTCCTATAAGCATGTTCCTTTCTTTTGTAGAACTTACCTTGGTTTGTAATTATACATTATGTGTTTGGCTATTTGATTAATGTCCATCTCCCCATTACAGTAAAAGATCTATGAAAGCAGCAATTGAATTTGCTTTCCTTTATTACCATTCTCCAGAGAATGGCACAGGCTTTATTCTGGGCTCTGGAGAACGGTCATAAAGGAAAGCACAATAGAAAGAGCTCTCTACGTGATTACACAAATGAAGTGTGTTGTGAATCTCCAAGAAAGGGACTGAGTTTTCAGCTTTTACTAAATTTATCTGACCACAGAACCCTCACCCTACGAAGAGTTTAGTGAGTGTTAAAGCCAACTAAACATGGCCTGAGAAGGACCTCTACTTCTGTATTTGAGTCCTTGTGGACAAACCATAAACTAAATTAATAGGTAGACGAGATTGAGAACGTAATTTAGGAGTATGTGCCTGTAGCAATAGCTGATTCTTGGCTAATCCCAGCCCAATCGTCAACCTAGGTGCTACTTGGAATGAAAATGGGAACGCTGAGTTAAACAAGAAAGAACGGGCTTGCTATTACGAATGGGCGCTCATAAACTGCTGAGGTTCAGCTCAGAGTGTTTTTTTGAGATGGAGTCTCACTCTTTCGCCCACACTGGAGTACAGTGATGCAATCTCAGCTCACTGCAACCTCCACCCCCCGGGCTCAAGCAATTCTCCCACCTCAACCTCCCAAGTAGCTGGGATTACAGGCATGCCACCACACCTGGCTAGTCAATTTCAATCTTCTACCACTCGGAGACTGCTGAGTGTTCAAACTGTATTCAAATAAGGCAAACGCCAACCTGTAACTAATCTAATTGTTTTTGTACCTCACTTCTGATTTCTGTACGACACTTCCCATTTTTTGTCTACGTTTGTTCTGACCACGAGGCATGCCTAGAGCCTCTCTGAATCTGCTGTGATTCTGAGGGCAGCACGATTCTCGAATCGTGCATTGCTTAATTGGACTCCTTTAAATTTAATTTGACTGAAGTTTTTGTTTTTAACTTGAGGGATCAGAATTCTCCAGGAACACAGTCTGGGAAGCATCAGGTTAGAGACTACAGAGGAAGGTAATTGAGTCTAAATTGAAATCTCCACTTGCACTATGACCTCAGCTCTCCTGAATGCTGAAGGTACCTTCTGATAGCTGTATTTTGGTTTCTTTCTTTCTTTTCTTTCTTTTTTTTTTTTTTTTTTTTTTTTTT